TGGCTCTGCCTTTTGTCTGTGTGTGAGTTGTTGTAGGAAGGTTTCCACAAATGGCATTGCCTTTCTTGAGATAATCCTTTAGTTGTTACTTATTGAGTTTGTCCCTGAGCATATTTATGTTCACTGAAAATTTATTTCCTATCCTTTTGTATTGAAAACAAATAATCTCATGTTTGCTTGATTGCATTTGTGTCTGCTTTGTTCCTCAAAGATACTTTCAATGTACTTGAAATGTACAAAATATATCATTATAATATGCAATCTTCTAAAATATCATCCCGAATTAAAATATTTTCTTAATTGTCAACTTCAAAAATATTCATTCAAATGGTTTACACTGAAGTTAAATGCAGAGTTTTTCTAAAATTTGACAAACATGTTTTTCAAACATCTTTGGAACATTCTGTCAATCCCAGTGACATGGCCAGTACTTGGAAATGGTACAGTAGGGATGGGAATACAACATTAGACAGAGGATGCTTTCCCTCCATTAAACCCCTTTTGTGTGTTGAATATGTAAAGCTAGTTAATGCTGAGTTATATTTCCCATATAACCACTCTTGGCTCCACTGATTAGCAGTATCTCTTCAAAGATTTTCTTTGTTGCCTGCTATCAGTTATTGAACCTAAGACTCTATGAAACCTCTGAACTTCTCATGGTGATCTAGAAATGATTCTAGACATACACAGATGGTGACTTAACATAGATTAATTATCTTTTTGTCTTTATAATTGATGTAGCTGCCATATATTTGTCTATGCATGTTTATAAATAGAATCAGATTTTTTTAATCACAGAGGGTGTTTGTGAATACAGAATATGGAGATAATAGTTTATTGCAGATTAGTTGAATATGAGGCAGTTGGGTTTATTAAAGTTATATGGAGTCTAGACCCAAGATGAGAAACGTGGGTGGCAAAGAACATTACATTCATTTTATTACTTTATTTCAATTAGAATTCAGTGAGCAATTTGAATTTTGTAAAAATTATAACAGCTATGGAGGATGGATGAATTTCAACATTATGATAGATGTATTGCAAGTCTAACATTAAATATTGACCTCATTGTGTTGAGTTTAGTCTCTTTCTAGCTCCCAATTTAATTAAGATAAATATGTTTTTGTTTTTATTTTGATGTGGATTGAATGAAGAATATTGGAGAATTCTGATCTGAATGAATATCGAAAAGAGATTATTGAAGCTGGTCCTCAGTACAGCTCTGACTACCAGCCATGATGCTTAATGATGTGTTGATTGATAATATTCAGTTGCCTTAGAAAGCCAATCTATATGGAAAAGAGATTTAATTCTTAGTTTATTTTGTTCATCTATGCAGTCCCGTTCAATGGATGAAATTATGAAAGATTCGACAATTTGTTTGATAATTTCTCATGCTTTTGCCTTTTTCATGAAAATTTTATTTGCTCAAAAATAATTTTTGTACAGAAACCATTGCTTTTGACATAGAATAAAACATTTTTGTATAAAGTTTACTGAAAATGAGAACAAAAAGGCACTGCTCTTTCATTCTTGTTGAAGGACCATCTATCTGATCTACCTATCTGTCTGTTCACCTCATAGTGCCTGAGATGACAACTTTTGAGAAAAATTTCAAAATACAAAGCCAGGTAGATTTACCTGGGGTATTGAGTATCAGTTAACAAGATCAGTTTACTATGTGGGATGCATTGCTTATATGTATAATATGAATACAGTAAGAGTTTAGAACAGGGGTAGGCAACTTTTTTGAGCCGGGGGCCGGGTTGCTGTCCCTCAGACAATTGGGGGGCCGAAGCACCAAAAGCAAATAAATATATAAATAAAAATATTTTTTAAAATAAATAAATAAATAAATAAATATGCACGCACACTCTCCCAGCCCCAGAAAAGCCATGGCAAAACTCCTGTGGAGATTTTGCCAAGAAAACCCCAAGAACAAGTAACAACAACAATAATCAATATCATTATTGTGGGGGGCGGGGGCAGTGTCAGGACTGGCCTGGGGCCGGTCCAAAGGCCTCGGGGGCCGCATCCCGCCCCCCGAGGCCTTAGGTTGCCTACCCCTGGTTTAGAACATTATAAAATAGTTGTGTCATTACCTCATGATAAGGTGAGGCACATTTTCTGTTTCCATTGTTGCACCCATTTTAGGCAGCCTTCTGATAGTGTGATATTTTCAAAATGTATACAACTACCTTGTTTGAAACAGCTTCATTGGTTGCCATTCTGTTTCCAGGCACAATTCAAAATGCTGAGTATGACTTATAAAACCCTTTGCAGCTGGCTCCGTCCTACAGAAAGGGTTATATCTTCCTGTATGAGTTTCCCTGGGCTCTAAAATCTTCAAAGGAGGCCATTCAGAGTAACATGTGGTGGAAACATAGGGAAGGCCTTCTATGTATCTGCTTCCAAGTTATGGGACTTCTTCTCTAAGAAGGTTGGAATGGCTCTCTCCTGGCTGTCCTTCTGTCAACAAGTGAAAATTTCTTTATTCTGACAGGATTATAAGAAGCTGGTTGCAACAGCTTTTAAATTTCCTGTCTTGTATGGCTTTGTTCTAAATGGTTTTAATTTAAATTTAATACTAATTTTGGTCTGTTTTTACCTTTGTCTTTCTATGTGCTATCTGCATTTGTTTTAATTTTTATAAACTACCTGAAGCCTCAGTTTTGAGGAAAGATGGGCTATAAATGAACAAGGAGGAGGAGGAGGAGGAGGTTTATGGGTTGATGTAGGCTAGGTAAAAGGTTAACATTCTTAGCATAGTAACATCATATTTAAATTGGACTTACTTAAGAAATCAAGTATTAAAATATATTAAATCAATAATACTTAGATTAATAACACAATCCACCTCCTGAGTAAACAACTATCAGTTTTGCTTATGACAACTATGTAAACTTGGTAGGTACTTCTTTGTCTGTGTTACAAATAAGGAACTGAAATTAGCTGATCAATGTACATTTATTCTAAAATAATAATAATAATAAATTTATTTATAGCCCACCCCTCTGCAGGGCAATTGGGGCGGGTTACAACATTTTAAAACAGACAAGTTAAAACATTCCCTCGTCCCACAATCCCTCCCTCCCAACCCCTTAAAACAGAATTAAACTAGAAAAAAGTTAAAATACAACAATACAATAAAAAAATTTTGTTACCCTTGAAATACTATGGGATCAACTAACCCTCTGGAAATAAAAGCCATTCAATGAACTCTTGCCTGAACTGAAATTTTAAATAGGTGCTTTCTGGCTCAGTGCCCAGGCTCTTCACTAGTAGCTGATAATGGAGTTGCCTTAGATGCCCTTTTAGACATTTTTAGGCTGTTTTGTGTGCAAGAATTCATTTTGTTGGCACTTTCCTGATTCTGACATGGCCAGGGGGAACAGCGACAGCACTGACAGATGTAGCCTCTGCTCCAGAAGTCTTGCTGAACACAGCAAAGGAGCACAAGGCATGAATATGCCCATGGCTAGTAAAGCATTGCCTCTTCGAATCAGAGTGCCAAAGCTGGCAGGTAACCTGATCTTGGTGCCAAGTGGTCTTGCCCAGCTCTTGGCAATGTCTGCCTCTTTTCCAGGTCATTTCATTTCAGCATTCAGATGGTCTGTGACTATGGCTACATTTGATTTCTTTTTAATTCTCTATTACTTGAAATGAATGTATCTCTAAAAAAAACTAAAGAAAAAGATTGAGGGGAAAAAACCAACTTCCACCTACCTTAACTGTACTTCATAAATTGATAATTTTAATAATGTGCCAACTGCAGCAGTTTGAAGTAACTCAGCAAGTAAAAAGGTCACTATTGCCATAAGTTACCCTAGCATTTGATCAGTGGACTCTTTTTGAAAGACTTTAAGTCTCATTATTCACTGCTTATAAAGTCACTTGAGATATAAAAAAGACTTTTTACTGCAATGAAAGAACTCCCACAATTAGCCAGAAGGCAACTATCTATCTTTTTAAACTGCTCAATTCACGGAAGACCTCAAATTTGAAGCATCAGTAGAGGATGAATTGTTATGACAGTGATAAGTAGCCAATTCCTATGGCTATGCTAGCTGTTGCTCTATGGGTTGTAGGATTTTTCTTTTCTTTCTTTGCAGAGATGCTTCTGATGAAGTCTTGGAGCCTATAAATAACATGCAAGCAGTGAACTGAGTCATTTATTATATAGACACTGAAAAATGTGAAAAATGTCTAATTAAGTCTAATGTCACTTTAAGAGTAGTCAACAGTGCAGTTCTGCCATAGGAACTCCGTGGCTTATCTTAAAATGCTGTGTTGAACATAAAACAAAAGGAATGGAAAATTTACAAGAGAGCAGTCACTCAAATTTTCTCATGTTTTGCCTTTATGTTAAAAATATTGCTGTATGTAACAGATTTCCCAACAGCTATACAGTATGTTACCAAGCAAAATAAAGCATTTTAGTTTCATAATAATTAACCAAGGAATGCTAATTATGTTAAATAATAACTTCATATATTTTATGTGTATTACAGCTAGCTGAATCCATATCTCCATAACACAGAATTACAATAATTAAAAATCAGTTGGTCAATATAACATGCAATTTGCATATTAAATACACTCCAAACTCATTAACCCATCATCTGGGAAAGTCTAGAAGTTGGATTATCATCTGGCTGTGATATATGCAGACTCTGCATGTATACCAGTTTCCCATTTTGTTTGGTGACAGCATGATGGTTCCACTATATAGTCAGGTGCAACTACCTTCACTGAATAATGGATGTGTTGTTGTTGTTTCTTTCTATGTGGTAAATAGCACTACACACAGATATTTTCACAAATATCTTTATATCTAATAGAAGAGATTGGGGGAAATCATTAATTAATTCAATCACTTTTATTTCATAGATCTCCAATGTCACTGAATTCCATAGGTTTCCTGAATGACACTGAACTACACTAGCAAATTAATTATTTTGGGTTGTTAGAATTTGTTAGAAAGTGATGTAGCACAGGGAGCTCATGTAGCGTAGTGGTTTGAGTGCTGGACTATGACTCTGGAGATCAGGGTTCAATTCTCTACTCAGCCATGGAAACTGACCTTGGGTGAGATATACTCAGCCTCAGAAAACCTTGTGATAGGTTCACCTTAGGGTCTCCATAAGTCAGAAACTACTTGAAGTCACAGAGCAACAACAGAAATATAGTATACTCTTTGCCAGATTCAGAAGGATAGGAACGCTCCAGGAGAAGAGCAGTTAAGAGTGGAGGAAATGCATCATGTAGCTTTATATTTGCCCGCAAGTTTTTTCTATCTCCCATTATGGGCTTTACAAACAAGAAAGTTGTGAGAGCCTGCCTGGAATGGAATGTTGACGGGGTGATTTGTTTAATCAGCAGGAAGTATTTATAATGCCATGGCCCTGTCAAAAGATCAGACCCTTTAGGTCTTCATGACAGCCACAGATGCTGGAGAAACGTCAGAAAGAAACTCTTCTAGAATATGGCCATACAGCCTGAAAAACCCACAAAAAACTATGGGTCCCCGCCATGAAAGCCTACAGTTTCACAAGTTTGGAACTGTTAGTTTGTATACCAAAGATTTAGCAAGCTAAATCTATGCTCTCCTTATTTTTATTCAGAACATTCCCTTACATTAAGTGAGGTTTATTCTCAGGTAGATGGGTGTACAATTGCTGCATTTCTAATAAGTATATTTTTTTTCAGGTAAGAAGAGATAAGAAGTAAGAAGTAGGAGGTTTCACAGCTTTACCACTGCCCTGAAACAAAACATTGCCTCCAAAGGTGATAACAAGCATAGTCTGCTAGTTCTGAGACCTCCTAGGTTTGCCTCTTAAGAGGCAGTGCACAACAGTTTTAACAGCAAATCTTGAAAGATGAACTAGTGAATTGGGATATTTGCATGAGGAAACTTTGCAAAAAATATGCAAGGAGTTACAAAGCCAGGGAATTTGCTTTATACAGTTTGCATAGATAACACCATACTCTATAATTCACTGCCATATACTGCTGGAAATAACCTTCTTTTTCATTCTTCATGTCTTCACATTTTTTTCTCATCAGTGACAACTAGCTAACATGCTTTTGCTAATCCCATATTTAGGTGTCACATGAGAGAATTCAGTGTCAGAAATAAAACATCATTCCTTCTTGTAGTGTTGTCATATTATCCAGTTGGCTTGTTACCGTACTTCATCCAGAATTTGTATGAATGTTTTTCATTATAAAAGCTCGCCCTCGTGTAACAAAGTAGTTATTAATTAATATTATGGTGCTTGTTCATATTCTTATTATTATTAGCACTGATAATATTGGTGATCACCCTTTGTCAGGTAATTATGATTATGTTCTGCTTAACATTTTGATGAAGCTATAGAAGGATTGGTGTGTGCCTTCAAGTCATTTCTGACTTATGGGATCCTAAAGTGAACCTATCATAGGTTTTCTTGGCAGGATTTGTTCTGCCATTGCTTCCACCTCAGGCTGAGAGCATGTGACTTGCCCGGTCAACCCAGTTGGTTTCATGGCCAAGCAGGGAATCAAACTCTGGTCTCCATATTTGCTGTCCAACATTCAAACCACCAAAGAGGGTACTTCCAAATAAAGATATTACTGTGTGAATCAACTTGTTTCATTTATGGATTTTTCATGTAGGTGGGTGGCCAGATGACTGGAGCTGCTGCCACACTGTAGACTTAATGCAGCTTGACACTGATTAAACTCCATCCTGTGGAATCCTGAGATTTGTAGTTTTTGCTTTCTGACAGAGAAGGCTAAATATTGCACAAAACTACAAATCCCAGAATGCCATAGCATTGAGCCATGGCAGTTAAAATAGTGTTAGACTGAATTAATTCTGCAATGTAAATGTAGTCAGTGTCTACAAGTGTAGTTTTCCTTTATTGCCCAGCTTTTTTTATTTCCATTAAATAAAAACCTGTTAAGGAGAAAAAGATGGGATAGCTGCAGAGTCTCTTGCTCAATAATGCTACGAATTGTTGATCTGGAAAGTCTGGTGATACTAGTTTTATTTATTTTTAAGATAATCATCTTCATAGCTATAAATGGCTGGAATCTACACTGGAATGCATGCTGAACATATCATATGACTACCTTCTATTGCATGAACTTGCCCATGCTTTGTATGCCTCTTCAGCAAGTCACAATACCACAACCTAATTTCCCTGACAATTTAGACTGCTAGTTATCACAGAAAATGGCTATTCTATTGTAGTGCTCAAGCTGTGAAATATTCTGTTCATTTAGGGTCTTCTGATTCTCACTGTGTGGTCTTCTTGTCACAGGTTTTTTATTTCCCTAGACCTTTCAAGGACATTGTTTAGATCTTTCTAATCCTGAAGCGTTCTTGCTCTCTTGTTCTCTCTTGTATTTGCTTATATTGCTGCTGTTGATACACATTCATTCTTTTATGTTCTATTTTTAAATTGGGGGGGGGGGGCTTTGTATCCTATTGTTAGAATACAATACAAATACCTGTAATAAAAAATGAAAATAAATTAGGAATGTTCTTTGTAAAAAAGGAGAAAGAAAGAAAGAAAGAAAGAAAGAAAGAAAGAAAGAAAGAAAGAAAGAAAGAAAGCAAGCAAGCTATCCAGGTTTGACATTCTAACTCTAACTCCTGGGATGGCACTGGATAGCCATTTTATTTGTCATTGTTTATCTAATCTCTATAACCCCCCTCTTCTTTCTCTGTGCTTCATTTCACAAATTTGCATGTATGCTTGGCAAAGATGTGGTGTAGTCAATGACTGCCTTTGGAAAATGGCAGTCTGCCAGTGTCAGTCAGTTATTTGAGCTAGCATGTTTTTGTGTTTGCATCAAAGACAAAAAAAGCCAACACAGTCCTGTTTTCTTGTTTTCTGATACTGATAAATGTATGCACGTGGCTGGGTTTAGAGAGATAATCAAAGGGTGATGGCTCCCTTCCAACTCGCAGCCACCAGTCACTCTGGGGAAGTTTTTGACAAGTGGCCCAGATTTCACAGTTTATCCAAAAGGCAAAGACTGTTCATTAAACAGAAGCATTATTAAACAAGGCAGTGATGTGGTTTCTATGTGAAGAGATAGTTCTTTACTTAACATTCACAAGTTGCTTATGGATTAATTAGCCCATCTGCTCCAGCAAATATTTTCCATCCTCTTCTGTGAGATCAAAGTGACTAACAGCAGAAGCCAATTACATTTATATCCCACTTTTGTGCCCATGGAATTCAAGTTTGGTATATGTAGAATTTCTATCTAGGTACTGAATTAGCTCTTTATCATAAAATGCTTCCATCTTTCTATTGCATTCTGTTGGGAAAAAAAGTGAAAGCAATGTCTTATAAGTAAGAACTGAGATACTGCATTGTCAGATCTGGATACTCCCAGATGGACATATCCTTCGCCACCAGTCTCTTACTGCACTACACTTTGCTGTTGTGTCCTTTCAGGTCGTTTCCAACTTACTAACATATCACAAAGTCTTCTTGGCAAAAATTGTTCAGAGAGGGTTTGCTTTTGCTTTTGGTTTCCTGTGAGACTGAGAAAATGTGATTCACCCATCAGCCAAGTAAGAATTTGAACCTTGGTCTCCAGAGTATTGGAGTAACTTCACTGCCCAACACTCAGACCACTACACCATGCATTGCCCAACCTTAAGTAATGATTCCAATTCAGTGAGATAAAATGACCCAAAGAATAAAAGGTCAATTAACCAAATTCAAAACTATAAAATAACACAATTTTAAACTGTTGTCAAAATGCCAAGGGTTTAAAATAGTTGGATTAATCATAAAATAAGATGAAAGCCCAGCCTAGATCCAACAGCTCAGCATGAAGCAGCTAAGAAGGGAGGGAATGAGGACACAGCCTGGGATTGATTTAGTTTTTCAAAGCAACACTACTTTTCTCTCTCTTGTATCAGGACATTAGGAGACATATAAGGCTTTGGATGTCCCAAAGATTCAAGAAAAAGGGTTTGCCTAAAACACAAGGCTTTTGAAGAACCCCAGATTAATTTCAGCTCACTTGTGGGAAACTGAGGCTGAAGATATTGAAATGGCTGAAGCCACCAAGTGCCTGTACTTGATTTTGTATTTTGAATGTGATTGTCTCATGACTTTCATAATTGTTCAGCAACCGGGTATAATTCTCACTCAGAAACTGGATGGGACCAGAGCTAGGAAAAGCAATGTTTGGACTGCAACTCTCAAAATACTTCAGCCAGAATGACTCCTCACTGGACAATTCTAGGGGGCAGTTGTCCAAACATACAACTTTTCCAAGATCAGAATAGGACTGGGTTTATGATGCCATGTTATTACTTCCTTTCAAATTAAAATTATTAAACTGCTCACAGGCCATATGTTATATGCAAGCCTACAAAAGCATAAGTGTCTGCACTACCCTGCATCAGATGTAAAACTAGCTTCTGGCACTAAAAGAAAATGATTGATAAAAATTTCTACCAGCATTCAACTTTGTATCTTATTCTGTCTTCTGTTGATGAAAAGCTGTAGCTCAATATATTGTTTTTCTTTTACTTCGTTGATACCTGGTTTTACTATTTTAAAAGGGATTTGCTATTGATATAATCTATTATATTGCATTATTCATTTACAAGGCATTACACACTTTACTTTTTAGATGTACAAATATTAAAATTTGTTGTCAGTTTATGTCTGCAGATCTTTAATACCAATTCATATTCACTGGATTTAGAGTGGTTTTTCTTGTTTCTTTTAAATGCTACGACAAATGTGAACTTATAATTATTTTTCCATTTCTTTCTAATTACAGCAGTATAATGACACTATGATAGCCACACTATGTATTCTAGAACTATCATTGCAGTGTTTTGTTTTAATTTTATCAAACCTGTCCATTTCTTCTTGCTTTGGTGTCATAGGAGTATTATGTAAAGTGATCTGATAAATGTCATCATGATAATCATAATATGTACTACTTTCTGTATTTTCTTTTAACACTAATCTAGGTAACTTTTTTTGTTTTAGGTCAATGGGAAAGATCTCTCCAAAGCTACTCATGAAGAGGCAGTGGAAGCAT